ATCTTGAATTTCTTTTTCCCTTTTAAAAATTGAAGACACTAAGACTTTTATGAACAGAAATTTCAAGAGAAAGAGAAATTTCATGTAAGAAAAGTGAAATGTCTTCTGAGAGCCACTGAGAGGAAAATGTCAGTTTGGCGGATGGAAACAAGTGACCGGAAATACGTCTGCTGTTTGCAGGCTACCCATTTGCTCCTGTTGCGCACGAATGTCAAGGAAAAAGACAAACCGGAGGGCAGAAAGGAAGGATTATTAAAGATCAAATGCTGCGACTGCCAGTCTACTTACATTGGTGAAACCGGCAGAAACCTTAGCACGCGACTGACCGAACGCAAACGAGCGACGAGAAATGGTGACGTCAACAATCACACTGCTGATCACCATTTACAGACGAAACATCCAATCGACTGGGACTCTGCGACACGTATTACGTATTCTCAGACTACTATCAACGACTCACTTTAGAAATCTGGTTTACTGAGAACAAACGTCATTGAATCGTAGTCAACAGTTGCCGGAACCGTACAAACGACTTTATTGACGGACTCAAGCAAAACTAATTACCAGAGAATGACTGGACAACCGACAATTTGACTAACATAAACGACTGTTTAACTGTGACAATATAGACGGATGGAAAGTCAACTGTCCAATGACATTACGAGTCTTCATAGCCAATATTAAAATCACTGCTTAACTGATCATGACAGACGACCAATAGCATCGCGACTTAATTGTCCAATCAGATCAATAACCAGAGTTTAATACAGTCGAACCTCCCGTAAGCGAGCACCCAAAATCCAAAGACTTAGTGGTCGCTTACAAGAATCGAACCACAGGGCGCCTCTTCCGAGAAGAGGTCTGGGCACATCTACTTTATCGAAGATGATTTATTTTATTATATGGCTGAGTCTGTATTCGCCATGCGATTGGTCAATTTGCGGTCCGTAACTTGCTATACGGACCAAAACTTTCAAAGAAAATGCTCATTTCGGAGCTCTAAATCTCTTTACCTCGAAAAAAAGGTTTAAATAAAGTTATAAGACGTCTGTCAACCTTTAGGACTTGGATGTTGACTTTGGGCCTCCACGTTTTAAACTATGTTTATTTGTGAACGAAGGCAACGAAGAAACTAACTCATAAACTTATCGAAGAGGATTCTTCGCCCCATGTAAGGGAATCCGTATTCCGGAATCCACGAATTTTGTGCTTGTGGAATCCGGAATCCTGGGCTTTGGAATCCAGAATCCAGGACTAAGAATCCGGAATCCTACTAAAGATTGGAATCCGGAACCCAACTTACTAAAGATCCACTGCAGATTAAATTTAGCTACTCGCTCGAAAGAAAAACAGTCTATGGAAAGCCTCACGAGGGTATAGACCTGAACTTGACGACATAATATCGGCATATCTGGAGTCAAAACAATAGTTCACGAGCTCCATATGAAAGGTCGAGGTCACGGTCACATGATTAAAATTCTATAATAGCGAGGGAACCCTTGCTTATGAGCGGCTGGGAGGATCACAAAATTCGGGGTTTTCAAGGGAACAGCGCAGCCTTTTTAAGGTATAAATTGAATTGTTATGAATAACTTCGACCTCTGGCTATGTTTGATTCTCTGTTGTTCACTTGCTTTGCTAAATTTTAAAAGATCAAAAGCGATTTTATGCGAGCTTTTTGATCTGGCATAGGACTGGAAAAGGTGCACCTGGGGTGAACCTTTTCTTGAACCTTCCTGGTCCTCCTGGTTCACAAATGAAAATAAACGTCTACGTTCAACATTTTCAGAAAAAAAAAGAAATTCACAGTCTCCTAGTGCCTAATTTGGTCCTAGTAGTTTCGCTGAGAACAGTTTCATAGTTTCGATAATCTTTATTTGAGAAATAAGCCAGGAACTGTCAGAACCGTACCAATCAGCGCTATCACCAAAGTAATCACGTGCGAGGACGCGGTGGGTGCCTTTTCATTCATCCCCCGGCATTCGAGTGAAATCTCGCCACCTCTTCGATCAGACAAGTTTGAAGTTTGTTGTTTGTTGGATTTTTTTTAAAAAAAGACGTTGTTGGAAAGCACAAGCAAAAACGAAAGGCTGAGAGAGAAAGGTACCTGTAATACTGTGTTGTGAAATTTTACACCAATTTTTAGCTGACTGCGATAGATCTAAACGTGCCAAAGGCAAAGCTGCATGATTTTTCGTTTGTGTCCATCTATGGACTGTGCTGAAAGTGGCGGCAAGCAAGTCACAATCATGAACAAAAGAAACGTTAAGTGTATAGTTTTAAGCCCGCTGATTGATTTTTTTCTCAATCATGTGAATGTAATTTAAATTTTACGTCGTCCTTGGGGAAAATATCGTATACATGAGCGCTACATAGTTGTTAATAAACGCTTGAAACGATCCAACGCGTCAGAAACGCCCAAGCCTCTCTCGATCTCTCACTTATCTCAGACTCGATCGAGGATCAAAAGGACTTTTCATGTTTTCTGGTTCTACAGTTGTGATTAGGTCTCGTTCACATTGAGGTCGCTTTTGGAAATTAGACCGATCTGAGATCGGTTTAGCGCGTAATTTTTTTTTCTTCGAAATCATCCTAGAGCCACCTAGAACGCGCTAATATGAATTAAAACTCGCGGAGGATTTTATAATCTCATACTCAGATCTCTTACTTATTGATGAAGCCAAAGGCGAGATTTGGTCAAATCCGATTTTGTACCCGTGATTGCCTGTCAGAAATGTGAAAGAGCGCATGCTTGAAATTGATCTCCAAGTTTTGACGTGTTAAACAACGAATTTGATAGAGCCGTGAAATTTTTTCTATCAAAACGTGGTTATGCGCACATCTTAAGTATGAACCAACTAATTTTTGTGTTTTTTTTTTTATCTTTTTAACATCAAATTCAACGCGACAACTTGGACCAGATCTAGCCTTTGGCTTCGTCAACAAGAGATCTGGGTTTCATTGACCTCTAGGGCGAGGGGGTGGTTTGCTTACCGAGGAAGAGAATGCTAGTCAGGGTTTGAAAATTTTAACACAGATCACAATTGAAGACGAGAATGAACTGGCAGAAAGAGAGGTTGTCCCAAAAACAATTTACGAGCGAATCTTACGACAATGACAACAAACTTACCTTGAAAAGCTTCTTTGCCTTTTGCATTGTTATTTTTTACAAGAACAAACGGACGAAAGAGTGAAAAGACTTCTAGACAGACACAGTGTCCGGTTTCCAAAACGCTCCAGCGTTGCATTAAAGAGCTAAAACTTACAGTGCTCTTAGTTTTGACCGACTAAACTTTTTCAACATGGCAAATTTGTTTTTACTTTTTCGAAAACCCTTTGCTAAGTGCTATTGTTTTCGTGCGCCAATCAAAACTTTCTTTTTTGACACCTGTCAAATGACTGTCAAATCGTGCGTCCTGCACTTCTTTCGCGCTTGGGCCATAAATCGATGCAAAAAAACTCGGTCCGTAATTTCCAGCACGGACCGAAAACTCGGTTAATAAGAGGTATGTATGCAATTTCTAAGTTACGCCATGTGTACTGAGTTCAATGTTGTTTCTAAAGTTCTTCGTACATATCGTATATTCTAAGTAGCATAGTGCACACAGCGAACTAGGGATCAGAGAATGCGTCAAGTGGTCGAGTTTGGTCGCTTACTAGAGCTTAAAAACAATGGAAAATCATTAAACTTTCAGGCCCAAAAAGTGGTCGCGGTCGCTTACAAGAGGTGGTCGTTTACTAGAGGTTCCAACTGTAAGGCTTTGACTGGGAAAGTTTTGGTGCATGAGTTTTGGATTGGCGGTCTCTTATGGGAGGTGGTCCCACATGGAGGTTCAACTGTACCATCAACTGTCGTAATACAACTCACTTTGACTCTGAAGATGATTACCGCGTTTCAGTCATTGTCAATGCAACAGTCCTATTTAGTACTACGTCAGCCCTCGGACGATCATGCTCATCCTACTTATAGATCTACTTAAGAAAATAGGAGGGAAAAAAGGAAAACTCCTCAGGTTTTTACACCGAGTTGGACTTGAGCTGGAACCAGCTGTCTATTTCAGTTTTTTGAAAACCCACAAGCTGTAACTCAGTGTTTTGGTGGTAAAGAAATAGGCTTTCTTTTCAATTGCTAAACACTTTTATTCCGCTACCCAGAGATGTTAACCCTTAGAAATAAGTTCACTTTCCCAAATTTGAAGTTTCTGAAATGTTTCCGCTGGCCCGGTTTGTATTTTGTTGACAACAAATTTATTTTTTCAGTGGAAGGTAGATGACTGTATAATGTTTAGACAGACAATTATTATCATATAAACACCAATGAAATACCAAGTGATATCTTCACATGTGAAAATGTCATCGTTGCTATAGCTTCATAATAAACCGCACCTTTTGAGACCAAAAACTATTTAAGTAAAATGGTGGGTATTTCAATAGTCGCATGGAGATACAAAATTTCTCTTCTCGTGTTGAAAAAAATATTTCACGAGTGAGCGCAGCGAACGCGTGAGTGAAATATTTTTCAACACTCAAAGAGAATTTTCCCATCTCCGTGCGGCCATATAATATCCTTTATAATTATATACGCCATGTTTAAACAACGGTAAATCTATTTCTTTGTTGTTGTTGTTTTTAATTTCGATCATTATCACCAAACGAATGTTAATATTTTCCTTTTTTAGAGAAGACCCCAGTCCATCAAGTCATATTATACAACGATAAAACACCTAGAAGGATCCCTTTTTAAGGCAAATCAAATACGACTGTGATAGACAAAAACAAGTAGTAAAGGAGCTAATAAATAAGCTTTTACTCCCGCTTTTAATTTTACTTTTCAGACCCTCTTCGTTATCGTACGTAAAGAGAAATGGTATCAGCAGAAAAAAGAAACCACAATATGTGGCTGAGCTGAAGTAGCAAAGCCAGCAAAATAAAATATGACTACCACAGCTATTAATGGTAATATTGGCGACCCCTTTTTCAACTATAAAGATTTCCAGCACGCCCTAGGCATCGCCTATCACAGTCTTGGAGATTTCCAGAAAGCCATAGAGTACCATGAACGACACCTCAAAATTTCGAAAGAAGTGGGAGACAGGGCAGCAGAAGGAATAGCGTACTGTAATCTTGGCATCGCCTACAAAAATCTTGGATATTTTCAGAAAGCCATAGAGTACCATGAACAACATCTCAAAATTTCGAAAGAAGTAGGAGACAGGGCAGGAGAAGGAACAGCGTACTGTAATCTTGGCAACGCCTATAACATGCTTGGAGATTTCCACAAAGCCATAGAGTACCATGAACGAGACCTCAAAATTTCGAACGAAGTGGGAGACAGGGCAGCAGAAGGAAAAGCGTACTGTAATCTTGGCTGCGCCTATTACAGTCTTGGAGATTTCCACAAAGCCATAGAGTACCATGAACGATACCTCAAAATTTCGAAAGAAGTGGGAGACAGGGCAGGAGAAGGAAAAGCGTACGGTAATCTCGGCGACGCCCATGACAGGCTTGGAGATTTCAAGAAAGCCATAGAGTACCATGAACGATACCTCAAAATTTCGAAAGAAGTGGGAGACAGGACAGGAGATGGAAGAGCGTACTGTAATCTTGGCATCGCCTATCGCAGTCTTGGAAATTTCCAGAAAGCCATAGAGTACCATGAACGAGACCTCAAATTTTCGAAAGAAGTGGGAGAGAGGGCAGGAGAAGGAAGAGCGTACTGTAATCTTGGTATCGCCTATCGCAGTCTTGGAAATTTCCAGAAAGCCATAGAGTACCATGAACGACACCTCAAATTTTCGAAAGAAGTGGGAGAGAGGGCAGGAGAAGGAAGAGCGTACTGTAATCTTGGTATCGCCTATTGCAGTCTTGGAAATTTCCAGAAAGCCATAGAGTACTATGAAGGATACCTCAAATTTTCGAAAGAAGTGGGAGACAGGGCAGAAGAAGGAATAGCGTACTGCAATCTTGGCTGCGCCTATTACAGTCTTGGAGATTTCCAGAAAGCCATAGAGTACCATGAACGAGACCTCAAAATTTCGAACGAAGTGGGAGACAGGGCAGCAGAAGGAAAAGCGTACTGTAATCTTGGCTGCGCCTATGACAGTCTTGGAGATTTCCAGAAAGCCATAGAGTACTACGAACGAGACCTCAAAATTTCGAAAGAAGTGGGAGACAGGGCAGCAGAGGGAATAGCGTACTGTAATATTGCTAACGCCTATGACAGTCTTGGAGATTTCCAGAAAGCCATAGAGTACTATGAACGACACCTCAAAATTTCGAAAGAAGTGGGAGACAGGGCGGGAGAAGGAAAAGCGTACGGTAATCTTGGCGACACCTATCACAGGCTTGGAGATTTCCAGAAAGCCATAGAGTACTATGAACGACACCTCAAAATTTCGAAAGAAGTGGGAGACAGGGCAGAAGAAGGAAAAACGTACGGTAATCTTGGCATCACCTATCACAGGCTTGAAGATTTCCAGAAAGCCATAGAGTACAATGAACGACACCTCAAAATTTCGAAAGAAGTGGGAGACAGGGCAGAAGAAGAAAAAGCGTACCGTAATCTTGGCCACGCCTATCACAGTCTTGGAGATTTCCAGAAAGCCATAGAGTACCATGAACGACACCTCAAAATTTCGAAAGAAGTGGGAGACAGGGCAGGAGAAAGAAAAGCGTACGGTAATCTTGGCAACGCCTATGATAGTCTTGGAGATTTCCAGAAAGCCATAGAGTACCATGAACGAGACCACAAAATTTCGAAAGAAGTGGGAGACTGGGCGGGAGAAGGAAAAGCGTACTGTAATCTTGGCAACGCCTATCACAGTCTTGGAGATTTCCACAAAGCCAGAGAGTACCATGAACGACACCTCAAAATTTCCAAAGAAGTGGGAGACAGGGCAGGAGAAGGAATAGCGTACGGTAATCTTGGCAACGCCTATCACAGTCTTGGAGATTTCCACAAAGCCAGAGAGTACCATGAACGACACCTCAAAATTTCGAAAGAAGTGGGAGACAGGGCAGGAGAAGGAAGAGCGTACGGTAATCTTGGCAAGGCCTATCGCAATCTTGGAGATTTCCAGAAAGCCATAAAGTACCATGAACGAGACCTCAAAATTTCGAAAGAAGTGGGAGACAGGGCAGGAGTAGGAAACGCGTACTGTAGTCTTGGCAACGCCTATTGCAGCCTTGGAGATTTCCAGAAAGCCATAGAGTACCATGAACGAGACCTCAAAATTTCGAAAGAAGTGAGAGACAGAGCAGGAGAAGGAACAGCGAACTGTAATCTTGGCAACGCCTATTGCAGCCTTGGAGATTTCCAGAAAGCCATAGTGTACCATGAACGACACCTCAACATTTCGAAAGAAGTGGGAGATAAGGTAGGAGAAGGAAAAGCGTACTCTAATCTTGGCAACTACTTTCGATTAACGTACGGCATCGCCTATGACAGTCTTGGAGATATCCAGATAGCCATAGAACACGATGAAAGAGACCTCAAAATTTCGAAAGAATTGGGAGACAGGGCAGGAGAAGGAAGAGCGTACGGTAATCTTGGCACCGACTATTACATTCTTGGAGATTTCCGGAAAGCCATAGAGTACTATGAACGACACCTCAAAATTTCGAAAGAAGTGGGAGACAGGGCAAGAGAAGGAAAAGCGTACGGTAATCTTGGCAACGCCTATCACAGTCTTGGAGATTTCCCGAAAGCCATAGAGTACCAAGAACGACACCTCAAAATTTCGAAAGAAGTTGGAGACAGGGCAGGAGAAGGAAAAGCGTACGGTTTTCTTGGCAAAGCCTATTACGGGCTTGGAGATTTTCAGAAAGCCGTTCAGTGTTATAAGAACAGTGTTATAGCCTTCGACCACATTAGGAGAAATCTCATATCTAACGACGAATGGAAGATTAACCTGAAAAGTACGTATGATCATATTAATTTGAGGCTGTTGGAGCTGCAGTTGAAGGATGGTAAAGTCATTGAGGCACTTTTAACTGCTGATCAAGGACGTGCACGAGCCTTAAATGATCTTCTGGAGTTCAAGTATGGCCTTAATGAGTTACGCCCAGAAATAGGAACACTTTCTGCAAGACCAAGTGACTTTGCTAGTTACTTACCACCAAATACAGTTTTCATGGGTATCAGCGAGGGAGGAATAGTTTTCTGGGTGAATGAGAAAGGAAACGAAATCAAAACTAGAAGAAGTGAGATTGATATGTCCGTCACAACCTATTTTCAGTCTCTACTGGAGGCTACACATAAAGAAATACGTGTAAGAGCTGATGTTAATTGTGAAGATCGGTCATTAAGTAACCCAAGCGATAAAAAGTTAGCAGTTGAAAGATCCAGTAAGCTAAAGTCTCAGCCATGTGTTGAGTCAAAGTCATTACAAACATTGTACAATGTTGTCATAGACCCTATAAGTGACTTACTCCAGGGCGATGAGGTTGTGATTGTTCCAGAAGGACCTCTGTGTTTGGCGCCTTATGCTGCTTTCTTGGACTTGAAATCAAAGTACCTCTGTGAAACTTTCAGAATTCGTCTGCTTCCCTCACTTTCTAGCCTTCGATTAATCCAAGACTGTCCAGCAGATTGGCACAGGAACACTGGCGCCCTTCTCGTCGGCGATCCGTGGGTACAGGAGGTACGTTATCCCGGGGCAAAGCTAGGGCAGTTAGAGGGGGCCAAAAAGGAAGTGCAAATGATCGGGAAAATACTTCAAACTGCACCTCTCGTTGGACAGCATGCAACAAAAGATGAAGTTTTAAGACGTATTTCCTCGGTTGCTGTGGTGCACATTGCTGCTCACGGTGAAATGGAAACAGGAGAAATTGCCTTGGCCCCAAACCCAACACGTTCATCCCAGATTCCAGTCAAAGAAGACTATCTCTTAACTATGAAGGATGTTTTAAAGGCGCAGATTAGGGCAAGACTTGTTGTACTCAGTTGCTGTCATAGTGCTCGCGGAAAGGTCAGATCTGAGGGCGTGGTCGGTATTGCACGGGCATTTTTGGGTGCTGGTGCTCGTTCTGTTCTGGTCTCCCTATGGGCGATTGACGACGAGGCTACGATGGAGTTTATGGAATTTTTCTACCGACAACTAGTCAATGGAAGAAGTGCCAGTGAGGCTCTAAATAAAGCCATGAAATCCATGAGAGAATCTGACCGCTTTAGTGCAGTGAAGTACTGGGCACCGTTTGTTCTCATTGGTGACGACGTGACGCTTGAGTTTGATGGCATCAAATAAATAGCAAGGTATTTTGGGATGTATTTAAACCTAGGATCATATTACGTGCTTACGCAAAATTTTTATAAGGCAACGAACTCAACCGGTGCCGCTTTACATCAAGCCGCTAATCATAGGTCATGTCAGCAGTTAAAATGAACTTTGTCTTTAGTATTTTTTAGGGAGTCAAACACGAGAACATTTCTGCACATTACAAAGTGTCGAGGGCCCTTTTTGAGTTCATTCCATTGCAACATTTATAAAGTAGAACCTGCCTTAAGGGACCACCTAAAATGCCAATATTTGCTGGTCGCTGATGGACGGTGGTCGCTTAGGAGTGGTTCCAGGTATGGTGGTTTGGGTGGAAAAATGATTTTGGTATTTTTGATGGTTGGTCGGTTATGAGATTGTTTGATTTAAATTATGAATTTATTAACGGGAGCTTCGCTTTTAGCCCTGGTCATTCTCACCGACTGTAAGATACATATAAGAAGCTACTGTAAATCCTCTATTAAGCCCCCCCACCCCCGGGGGGGGACTTATTTCTTTCAAGCATGTTTAAGGGGGGTGAATAGAGAGGGGGTTATTTAATTAAGCGAAGATTGTGGTAAATAAATAAATGAATAACGATTTGCAGGTGGCACATCCACATAGTGGGTCTTCGTCTACCTGATTCCTGGTCGAATTGGAATTTGAAAATGTTGGTTTTTGAGGTAAGGGGGAAACCGGAGTACCCGGAGAAAAACATCTCGGAGCAAAGGAGAGAACCAACAACAAACTCAACCCACATATGGCATCGACGCCGGGAGTTGAACCCGCGCCACATTGGTGGGAGCCGAGGGCTCTCACTAATGCGCCACCCTTGCTATGACTATCGATTCTCTATTCCGAATAGAGACCGAAGCCAACGTAGAGAAACTGAAGCATATGAAGTTGGAGGTCGCTCAGCCGAAGATCAAAAACAAATTTGAACTTCCAGGACGTGAATAAACCATACGGGATCAGTCCACGTGAGGTGTTACAATCGTGAATAATTATTACATCTACCATACATCTGTTATTTAAGAATAGGCGGAGGGGGGCTTAAAACGAAAGAATTTTCTTCCCTGAAACTGGGGAGGGAGGGGCTTACTGGATAGGGGGGCTTCATAGAGGATTTACGGTATGAAAGTATCAATAATCTACAATAAGGCTCTTTGTAGAATGAAGTTACCGGTTTAAATATTATCCTTTGCTCTAACAGATTTAGAATATTGTACCTCTCCGGCTGAAATCACTATCCTTTCCTTTTACTAGCTTGCTAACGTTTCTTTTTTCTTTTTTGTTGTATAGGTACGAAGCGAAAGCAGTGAAGCGGTTCCTATCTAAAGTTGAACTCCCCATGGTTTTTTGGTGTAACAAATACAAAGTGGAGCGTTCATCGCGTAGGAACTCCTTATCCAGAAACGAAAATGAAGTGTACTTTTCGTAGATTGTTTCAGAAGACTATTCATGCGCACACCTTGTGCGGTAGTAACTTGTCCAGTAGTCACCTGAGAAGGACATCAGGAATCAGTAGTCAATTCTTATTTTCATTTTTATACCATATTTTACAGAGTCATTTTAAACGTGTCTATTGACAATATGATATTGTTTTTAATGCTTTTATTACAGTTACACAGTTGTAGTTTTTATTCTTTTGGCTGATCAGTTTACTCTTACTGTCTACAAAGGTCTTAATTCTAATTTTGCAATCAAATTGCTTATTCAATTACTGGGTTAAATCACTAATTTTGTAGTTTTACATTTACTCGCTTTTAGTTCTGCGTAGGACTGCTATTTCATAGGTTTGTTCGCGTGTGGTTTGTTTCAATATCAAGTATTCTTATTTCTATTGTTGGCACCTTTTATCTGCAAGTTGGTCGTAACTTTGCCGTTTACTGTACCCCTTTTTCCTGTCGCACTATTCATTAGTTTAACTGCGTATAAATACGACTACTTAATTCAGTTTCTGCAGTTTTTCAACTCGGCTGGTTAGCTTTGCTATTTACCTGTGGAGCTTAGCTCCCCAGGAGATCTCGACCTCTGGTAATTTTTTACTGTTTGGCCAAATCAGTCACCCCTCCTCTTCACAACTTAGGTCTTTTGGTGTCGGCAATCGATACACAGCGAGGAACTCGGAGACAAATGATTTGGTTTCTTAGGACAGTGTAAGAACCTGGGAGACTTTGTTGGGCAATTGAAACAACCCCAGCCACAGGGTAAGGTTCTATACTAAATTAGTCATACGCATTCAAAGCAACATCTGGTCTTAACTGTGCTATCTCACGGCGTCTTTAGCCCTGTTGTGACACCGTGTGAACGGATGGCTCTACGCAAGTTTGCAAAAAAAAAAAAGGAATGCACATGAATTGACCTTACGAAGTGTCCTTTGCTCAAACGCTACAAATTCCAGTTAGTGTACTCTATTTTATTTGTTTATTTTATTGCTTTGTTAATTGGACCCCCGAGGCCACTATATTCCGGCTAGTTCGGTTTATGCCGCGGTTCAGGCACAAAATCAAATACAAAATTTCAAAAACCAGAAAAACAAATATTAAAAAAAAATTCAAAACTAAACGCAAAGTACAAGGTTCCAGTTTTTTTCGCTGCGCTTTTGTTTTTTCTCTTTACGATAATTATCGTTTTAACTTCATTTTTTTTCTCTCCACTCAGCTGAGGACAGCTGAAACTTAAGGTGGAGGAATGTGAAAAGAGGATTTATTGTTATGAAGTTATTTTGTTTTCGCTGATAAAAATATGAAAAGCCAATGTAGAAATTCTTTATTCTTTAGTCTTAGCTTCTCCAAACCATAAACAACCTGTTGATATTTATTTAGCGTAAACGTATTTGTCAAGTCATGATTGTAGCAGCCTCCAAGCTGTAATCAACCTGTGAGGAACCGTTATCCACTTGTGTAACTTTTGGAAGTAATTAACGTTTCACTACAAGCTTCCATCTCCACCAATAGTCTTTCAGAAATGATTTTGTATTCGGTTATTTTGACTCGTTGAGTTATGATGTAATCTGTATCGCATCATTAGCTTAGGTTTAAATACAAGTGCTTTGTGTGAATTTCTTCGGGTACATCCTGGTTACGTCTTGGATTAAATCTCTACATTGGAGCCAAGTTCTGTGTACAATTGTTGTCTCAAGGGTATTCAACAGGCGAAAGGGATTCCGTGCCTTCTCGCATCCCGCGAGTGTCCCCAGGAAAAGAGCATTGTAGAGTTTTCCCCGTCGTCCGTTTGTCCTTTTATGACGACAAAAATCTGTTTCCACACTTGTGTTTAAATGAAAAACCTGTTTTCAAATTTGGATACATCGTTTCTTTTCCTAACGATAAATTCTAATGATCCAGATTTTTTATCTGATCTTAGATTTTAATAAAGAAACGCACTCTGTGTTTCTAGTTTAGTTAGCTCGGCTAGTTAGCTTCCTTATTTAGCTGTCAGCTCCCCAGAATGTCTTGATCTCTGGTAATTTTTTACTGTGTGGCCCTCTCAGTCACCCCTCCCTTCACGACTAGGTTCTTTCTGTGTGGCCCTCTCAGTCACCCCTCCCTTCACTACTTAGTTCTTACTATGTGGCCCCCTCAGTCACCCCTCCCTTCACAACCTCGTTCGTCGTGTCGGCAACCGATATACAGTTTTGGTTTTCTAAGACAATCAGGGGCGTTGCCACCAATTTGTTCCTTTTAAGCCCGAGTTGTAGAAGTCTTGAAAGAGCGGGGATCGGGGGAGGGGGTGGGGACATAAAAAAATCTGGATAGTACATCATTTTCAAGGGAATTACCTTAATAAATTCTTTAGAAATGCTTATTCCCAAGAGACTCGAATTGTTTGAGGTTGAATTCTAAAATATGGAAATTGGTCCATTCGTGTGGAGTGGTGAAACAGTCGTTTTGCCAGATAGAGATGAGTAACTCAAAGGAATACTATTCTTAACCTTAAGGCAGAGTAGTTTTGGAAACGCTTTCGGACCTCCCACTTCGACGGAGTTTTGTGTCCGTCGTCCAACGAGTCACGTTGCAAACAAGGACGTTCGCAGGTAAAAATTGGGGATGTAATGTCAAATTCGTTTAAAAGTGACGCGGCCGGTGATGCGAATATCTAGTTTGCGCTATGACAACAGCCGACGACGAAAGTGAAGTCCAAGAAAATGTGGTAGGTACATTAAATAAAAAAATTCTGACTTGTGTAGTTTTAGTGGGATGGTTAAACATGTTCAGAGGAACATGAGCAGGGGAATGGAAAAATATATTGCCGCATTGTTCTATTATTGTTATCAGCTCTGATTGTTTCAACCCCCGCACTCCGCCTCTTTTACAATCAAAGCCGCCACCAACGTTTCAGACAGTGAATAATACTGTGAGGGATTATATAATATATTCCGCTAAAAAGAACTGAGAAAACCGAACAAATGATTCCCTTAAAAAGAACAAAAATAACCGAGAAAAGGGAAAATAATTGCTGTAAATCGATGTCTTTAAAATATGAATAAATAAGAAAACCAGCACGTGCTCCAGAATTTTTTACAGCCATCACATGCATCAGGGGCACCCAATAGATCTGTTTCTAAAAAAATACATGTTCTTCAGGCCGGTTTTTTGTTGGATGGGAGTTTGGAAGAAGTGATATGTCCAAAGATGGAAAGTGTTGCTTGGAAAAATATAACTGTGGGTGTCTGTTGGGATTTGATGTGTAGAATATCTGGCTTGAGTTTTTTGCCAGAAACTTCCCCACCCCGAGAAGGGATAAATTCGCCTTTTGGCCACACCCATGTTTCTATGCCCCCCTCTACCCCCCACGGAAGGTCTGAATTTTGTCCTGTGGCCACACCCAAACCGGCCAGAAGTGCCTGGAGATACGTCTGCTAGGAAACTTCCCAGTAAGTCAGGTTGCATGTTGTAGGTACACCTTGCTGGCTTGGAACTCTTCCATCAGTCTTGCTGGGAGTGAGGAACACATACATTTTTCCCAGTAATCTCCCAATCGAAGTG